GTCCCGCTCGACGTACTCTTTTCGGTCCTGTTTTCTCGGCAGCCCCCACCCCCCTCCCCCGGCTGATCTGCCGTGCGAAGGAAGAACGCCGTATGAACCTTCAGCCGTTGCTAAATTTCCTTTGTATTTATGAAATCGTTCATGAGTAACATCATTTGTAATATGCCAGTTTGAGTAAGGAGCCAAAGTGTTATGTTTACTTTTATTTTATTTTAAAAAAAATTGAACTGAAACCGGTAAAATACTACTAGTACTACAGGTAGCAACTATTACTGCTCCTGAGCCGTTAATTTTGCCTGACGGCTTGTTGAAGGCGAAATAGTGAGAATCAGCGCAACAAAGCAGCACGATTACGTTCAACTGTTCCTGAGAACTTTGAAAGATTACTCTGGACTTAACCCCTTAGGGGCCATTTAAGTATAACGTAACGCACTTAGAGGAGGCAGATCAAGGCCAGCGTCACGTAACAAATCCCAGCCGGGGGGGGGGGGGGGAACTTTGTAAAAAAAATGCAAAAATTGAAACTCCTGTCCTTCCCGAATGAAAATAGGGGAGGGGATCAGGCCAGCGTTACGTGATTCAGAAGGGGGTGTAGGGGTGCGTCACGGGTGCGTTACAAATGACGCAGGGGGTGAAAGTGCGTTACGTGGTACATGATCGGCCCCTATTGCAAAAAAAGATGTAAATTTCGAGCACTGAAAAAAAAGGCACTTGGATCAAGAGTCCAGACTCTCAATAATATTGGCAAGAAAAAATACTCTCGAATTAAGCGAATTTTTCCTTGAATCGGAGAGCGATGCCTCTTGATTTAGCCGATTTCCTTTTGATTCAGGCAAAAATCCGATCGAATCAAGAGTATTTTTTCTTGTCAATGTTTTTAAGAATCTGCACTCTAGATCCAAGCGACTATTTTTCCCCGGTGAGTAGAGATGACATGCAGAATTGGCTCCTCAGACGGCAGAACGAACTTGACGCCATTAGCATCTATTCCATCCGGCGGATATTAAAATAAAGCGGATGCACCGGGGGATGATCAGCGGAGAAGCCCCGCCATTTTCACTCATTTTTATCCGGCGGGCGTTGACAAGGGCGGACGCGAAAGCGGAGAGCGCTATCACGGATTCGCGGGAAGAGGCGCGCAACCTCGATGTCAGTAAATCAAGCCGAGTTATCAAGTTAGTCGAGCGGGTTGCAGCCCGAGTCAGGAGTAATTAGTAAATAATTCAAAGAGCCTCCTCGCAATTAATACCAACCCCCGAGTCTCTATTAATCTCTGTCAGCGCCGTACCCCTGTTCCATCCCCCGCCCCCGGCCCCGCGGAGCGGGTCGGGGCCTCTGCGGAAGGGCGCCGTGCTCTCCGCCCGTTGTGCCGCCTATGCGACTGATTTAGCGGCGGATTCCCGAGTTTGGTATGCGGTGCGGGGGGATCGATCGTCTAATCGTTATCAAGTAACGCTAATCGATAAATCCCTGTATGGTAATGGGACCGAGTTCATCAGAAAGGAACCAACCCACCTTCAGTTGAAACTGAGAAAAAGAGGTTGGAAGTTTTATCCATGCATAAGATTCAATGCAGAAAATAAGCATTAACCTCACACTTTTCACAAACTAGTTTATTTTTTTCGACTTTCAGATTTTGACAAGAGAAAATAAACTACTAGAGAAACTCAAAAACACCATAACTCAATTTATTCGAAAATGTGGGCTGGTGCCTTTCTGATAAACTCGGTCTAATGGGCCACTGGGACATGGTTCAAATTTAAGGTGAGTCTTCTGCGTTAATGTCCTAAAAAGTTGACTTACCCGTATGGATGTATGTGTGTTTTTTCATGTCCGACTTTTGATGGAAGCGCTTGCCGCAAAAGGCGCACGGATAAGGTCTAGTGTCCGAATGGATGAGAAGATGCGTGGACAGTGTGGAAGATCTTTTGAAGGTCTTCCCACATTGCTTGCACTCGAAGACTTTTTCTGCTGCATGCACGGATCTTCGACAGCAAAGCCACCTGGGAGAATTCAAAATACAAATAAGACTAAAGGAATCTACTTACATCGCAAATTGCTTATAACTAAACGCCATGATTTGAGTATTAACGAAACATAGAGTTTGAGATGAACTCATCGCATTACTCTGATTTTATTGATATTTGGGTTACTTAAGGGTTGAGTTCAAAAACGAGACTCCAATCCAGGGAAGAGCAATTTTGCCGTGAAAAAAAGAAGAAGAAAAAAAAACCTCCATCCAATATTAATCAAAAGGAACAATCCTGCTTTCGAGTTCGTTTTGCTTTAATCAATTTGCACGTACACATTGAGAAAAAGTAAACGACATTTTGTGTTAATGTGGAAAGTATAGCATAAAGTAACCTACGGAAATGAAGTTAATACATTCTGGCTCGTTTATCATTGGATTACATTCAGAAATCTTTGAGTTGGAACGCAACCGCTTAAATAACCGGGGATCAGCCGCCGGGATTGAACCTGGATCAAATTGGTGAGAGTCCAATAATGCGCTTGCCATTCGTAAGTTGCAACCTCTGAGTGACATCGAGAGAATCAAGAGAACATTGGTTGAGCAGGCAACTTTTTTTTATCTCGAAATGGCTCATACAGTAACCAACGGTTTCTGTCAATTTAGCCAAAAAATTGGTCAATCAACCAAGTCCCTTTGATCGATTTGACCGAAAAAAGTGACCCAAAATAATCCCAAGTACCCCAAAACAAGGCAATATTTAACAGAGCAATAATGTGCATAAATAAGCATAAAACATACAGCATAAATGGACTGCATTTCGCATTCGGAACTACAATATATAGCTCTGTTTAGAAACAAAGTATGCACCATTAGTTTCTATATGCACATGAGTATTTTTTTGGATGCAATGGAAAAAAAAACACACATTGGATCTAGAGTCCAGACTTTTAAAAACATCGACAAGAAAAATTCTCTTGATTCAATCAGATTTAAGCATAAATCAAGAACCCAGCCTCTTATTTCGAGCGGATTTCCTTTTAATTTAAGCTTAAATCTGAATGAATCAAAAGTATTTTCTCTTGTCAATGTTTTCAAGAGTCTGGACTCTAGATCCAATGTGTTTTTTTTTTTTTTCCAGCGTGGGTTAGAAATTGCAGTTTCTAATTGCGAAATGTAGTCCAAAATATACCCCCGTTCCACCCCTCGTTTCCACCTAACTTTTTGCACTCACCTGTGTTGACTAAGACTAACTTCAGCGCCGAACGTCTTGTTGCATATCTCGCAGGCGAAGGGTCGCTTCCCGTTGTGCGACCTCCTGGCGTGGACCTCGAGGCCGTGCGAGGTCGGGAACATCTTCTCGCACTTGATGCAGGAGTAGACGCCCCCGTCGGCCCCGTTCATGAGGAGGTGGTGGTGGTGCGAGCCCGGTTGGTACGAGTCGGACGGGTGGGACAAGTCCCCCACCGACACCCCCATCCCCACCCCCGCTCCGGCCCCGGAGAGAAAATGGCGGCGCAGTCGGAGGAACTCTGACGTCACGGGGGAGCCGCCGTGCTCGGACAGCGAGAAGTTGCCGTTGCTCTCGCCGTGTAATCCTGGAGAAGAAAATAATCACGGTTGAATTTCAAATGAAGACTGGCCAATATCCTCTCTATTCTATTTAGCTCATTTTTAAGACGCTCGATAGAAGGGATGAAAGGGAGGATGAAGAGTAAGAAGCGGCCTTTATATTCATCGTTTCTGAGGTATTTGCACTTGGAAAAAAACTTCCTGCGTGGGATCCGAAGTTTAGGTCATATGGATCTCTGAAGTTTTTGGATTGAGCATCTGAATACTTTAGATCCAGCTGCTGAGGTTTGGATCACACATCTGAAACTTCAGTTCTTACATCTGAAGTACTTCGGTTTTCACATCCGAACAACTTCGGTTCTCAGATCCAAAACACTTCGGTTCTTACATCTGAAGTACTTCAGATGTAAGAACCGAAGTTTTAGATGTGAGGTCCGAACCTCGACAGCTAGACCTAAAGTGTTCAGATGCTCAATCCGAAAACTTCAGAGATCCATATGACCTAAACTTTGGGTCCCACGCACGATTTTTTTCTCTGTGTGCGATCAAAGCTATGCCCAATGACGTCACATGCTAAAACGACGAGAAAAATGGCCAAAGAAGGTGGCGCGCATTCACTGCTCTTTTCCGAATACTTCATATGGCTCAGCCGCGGTCTTGAACTCTCTAGCTCATTTGGTTTTTAAAAAACTGCTGGGGACCCAAAATTGGAGGAGGTTGACAATTTAGGGTATAATAGCTGAAAAAGTGATTTTAAATGCCTGTAGCAGAGTGCCTCTCACTTAAATTACATGTAAAGAAGGGATTATTCAGTTCAGAGTCTATTTTCTGCGTCCTATGTAAGGATATTCATTTCAACGTGCCTCAAACCTTGAGGTGCCTCAACCCTGACCCTCTCACCAAATAATGACCGTTAAAAATTTACATTTAGGAAACACTTGAAAATACGCAAGCTTAATTGACAACACCATACCTGGCAAACCATTGGCCGGAGCATTAGCCATAGCGGCGGCGGCAGCACCCAGACTCAGATACAAGTTCCCAGTTAGGAGATTCCTATTGGCGTCGAGGAGTTCGTCTTTGCTGGGCATGGAAGGGTACAAACCGCTGGGCAGTGCGAAGTTGGGGCTGAGGAAGTGCCTGGGGATGATGCTCTGAGACTGCGGGGACAGGTCCTTGGCGTCCCGGAGGAAGATGTTGGAGAACGGGAGGCCGGGGTAGAGGAAAGACCTGGTGACGGAAATGGTCTCCGAGAAACCTGCCGGAAAATCGTCTGACTTCCGGCTCCGCGGAGTATCCGGTTTCAGGAGGGCCGACATGCTGAAAGTAAAAAGGACGTAACTTTAAACTTACGTATTTTACCAACTTTATGTGCCTGGTTCATAAGATTGATTTAAAGAAGCTTTTTAAAATTTTTCAAGCTATTCCGGCAAAAAATACTAAATAAGTACTAATAAGCACTTAATGTTATTTAAGCAAAGCACAAAGCACAATCTGTATAGCATTGCATACGCAAACCCCATACTTAACTATATTTCTAAAAATTGAACCGATTATTTTCCAAATCACGTAAGCGCTGATCTCTAGTTTGGTGGTAGAGGGGTTGTTATTTCTCTGGTATAATCAATCGTGTCTGATTTCAAAACAGGGCTTTTTATACGGAAGATTTATTGTATTTCTCGCATTCGCAATTTTGGCGCTTACATAATTTTGAGAATAATCGGTCACAGAATCGTGTTATGATGCTTGATTCTTACAGATTGGCTTACAGATTTGGCTAGCAACTTTCTACTTTGAATATTAACCGAGATATTGTCCTTTGAAAAGTCGGGTTTGTGACGTCAACCGCAGTGGTAGCGCATAATATAGTATGTACTACCGCGGTGGATGACGTCATAAATCGAGTTATTCAAGGCGCGATATCTCGGTTAATCTTCAACGTAGAAAGTTGCTGTTTGGACAAATCATCTTATTTTTCGTTGATCTGCAAGAATAAAGCATCAAAACACGATTCTGTGACCAGCGCAACTGACCCATTCAAAAAAACCACAAATTGTTTATTACCTAAAGGCCTCGGACTTCTTGACCGGTGGTGACGATGACGGCGACGGCGAGCGCTTGGGCGAGGGGGAGGGGCTCGGGGTGGGGGTGGGGGTGCGCATGGTGACGTCGATCGGCGACGGACTCTCCACGTCCACGTCAACGTCCACGTCAAGCTCCGGCGACGAGCACGGCGATGGCGTCTTCTCCGACGACCACCGCTCGTCCTGCCGCCCGGGGGAGGGGGAGCCCATTCGCTCCGTCATCGTTGTGACATCATTCCGGTTGAACTGCTTCGATGAGTTGTTGTTGTTGTTATTATTGTTCAGTCTCTTGAACCTCTCCCACGAGTCTTTGCTGTCCTCGTCGCATTTGTCCACGAGCCTGCTCACTCCGAAATTTATCACATCTGGAACAGGAGACCGAAACGGATTCCATTAAGAAAATATCAACTTACTTTGGGGAAAGGCTACAAAAGGGGAACAAATGAAAAGAAAAACCCGAAAGTTTCGAAATAATTACAATTTTACTATCAATCGGGAACACAATTTAACAGCTATTGCTAAATTTAACTGGGCATTTTAATGTTTTACGAGAGTACGTTAGTGAAGACTCCTTTGAAAATTTTAGGGCATTTGCTTCGTGCTATGCAGGAAATTTACTGAGATTTGCGCAAAAATCCGCACAACCGTTTTCATGTAAAAAAATATGCCCAATTAAATTTAGGAATCGCTGATGTGGCTTGGTTCCTTTCTGTTCAACGCGGGCCAAATTTTAGTTCAGAGGAAGGGGCATTTTTTATGAAGATAACCTTACACTCATCAAATGAGACCCTTATTTGTCAATAAATGTTGAAGGTATCTTCCTCGATCAAAAAGGAGAATGAAACGGAACAACAGAACAGCACTAACGTTTTATAGCTCTGACAAGAAAGCGACAAGTTCGAACGAAGGTAATACAGCGAGTCAACTGATCGCAGTATGAGATACAACTATTCGTGTTCTGAAGTTGTCTGTCGTGCATATCCAAAAAATTGAAGGCGCATCGACTTTCCTTGCGTGCACGTTGACTGTTTAAATGTTCTCATTGCTCTTTACCATTATTTACATTTGCATCTCCTACAGATTAATGCTGGTAAATATGGCATTCATCGAGGAATACGTTGAGTATTTGATGCATCTCAAGACAAATTTTGATCGACGCAACGTTGAAAGTACGCAAAGAAAAACTTGCTAATCAAAACTCAAAAGTGAGTTGAACATTTTCAGAATGATGGTGGTAGTTTGGAGTCTTAAAACGAATGATGAAGTCCAGTGTTTGCTTTTTCTTACCAAAAATTATCCTTTAGAGAAAAAACACTCGAAAAAACGTTTCTCCATACCGAACCCAAGTCACTCTGTTTTCTTGGCAACATGAACAGTATTTTGTGGGAAGGAACTGATTGACATTGACTTCGAATTAATGTAAAATGAGCTTAAACTTTTACTTTCCCATGGTCTTCCATTAACACAGTCCAAGTCGAAATTTCAAGCACGATATTGTTTTTCTCATTTTTGCGGACTTTCAATTTTTCGTTTAAGAGAACATAATTCTTCTGAACGAGCTCAGAACTGGATCCCATTTAGCAAAAGGGAACCAGCGTGCGATTACAGAGTTTAAAAAATGAAGCCTCTTCTTAATTATCTGAAGAATCTCCGAGAATTGCAATTACTTTTGGCTTTCCGCCAAAAATTGGTGATTTTAAAGGGAAATAATTGTGTAAATAGTAATTGTGTGCTTATATTAAGTATTTTTAAAAGAAAAGGAGAAGTTGCGCTGCACTGGAAAAAAACACATTGGATCTAGAGTCCAGACTCTTGAAAACATTGACAAGAAAAAAGACTCTTGATTCAATCAGATTTAAGCTTAAATCAAAAGGAAATCCGCTCAAATTAGGCTTGGTCCTTGATTTAAGCTTAAATCTGATTGAATCAAGAGTATTTTTTCTTGTCGATGTTTTTAAGAGTCTGGACTCTAGATCCAATGCGTTTTTTTCCCCAGTGTGGTTCCTTTTTTGCTAAATGCGATCCAACTGTTCTTAACTCTTTTTTTTCTAAATTATCATAGATGTATTTTGGCTCCCTTTCTGCAAACGCTACCGCTATTAAACATGAGACTTGAGAGAGAGAACATTCACTGCACCGTTTTGATTGAAACACGGTCCATCGACCTGATCCGGAAGCTCAAAAATCTTCAATGATAAATGATCGTCGCGCAGGGCCCGGAATGAGCCCGGCATCCGCGGACGCGCTGAAAGCTGCGGATTTACAGATAGAATTGCGAATTTGATTGGGCTTTGGTTAAAAGCAGAGCACAAAATGTCAACGGTCGAGGGAGGGGCGTGAAGCNGGGGGGGGGGGGGGGGGGGCTGGATTACAGGCCGGACACAGACGGGAAAAGCGCGAGCGGGCCGAAGCACTCGAACACACTCGAATTGCCCGGTGAAGAGCATCTATTAATCATGGCAGAAGCACATCCCAGATAAATCAGCAAAACGGAATTGCTCTGTGATGTTGGCCTTCTGCTCCGCTGCGACAATAAAATAATAAACGAACCGGGTAGCACGGTTGGATTCGCCAAAACTATCCGTCGCTCTGCTGCCACTTCGCCGTTTCCACGGGAAATCATGTCTGCCGTGATAGCATAGAGAGCAGCAAGTGTCGAATTTTCGAAATCGAGTTTCCTTCAAAATTCGTCTAATTTCTTTTAGATGATATTACACTGAAAAAAAAGATTGGTAGAATTTATCAATCCTTCATTCTGTATTTCACACATAATGTCAATTTAAAGTAAATTCTGCCAGAAGAAAGGTAGACGTTACTATATACTGGTACAGGTGACCATTCTTCTGGCAGAATCGACTTGAAGATTGGTAGAATTTACCATTCCTTCACACTGTGTGAAATACAGCGTGAAGAAATGGTAAATTCTTCCAACCTTTTCTTTCAGTGTACTGAAATAACTGAAACAGCAAAATTCATCTTAATTGTATCAAAACGAAACATCTGAGAAAGCCGTGAGTGCGCAAAAAATGAGGTTTTTTAGGCAAACAGCCGTAGGTGACGTTATTCCTCCAGAGAGCCAATGAAAACAGTGCTTTCAAGTAAAAAGCTACCCTCCTCTGCCAATTTCTAACCTGAAAATGTGTTTGTTGTGTGTCCAAAACGCAACCACGAAAGCACTCATAACATAGCACTTACGGCTGTCTCGTCTAACAATAACCTAGCATGAAAATGAAAAATACCCTTTTTATGTAACTTTAATAAAATCTGTCAATTTTTAATCATCGAAACGATTAATAGGAGTCTTTCGGACGATTAGTGGCAATTTGACAGAGAACGGAGGCTTTTTTCAATAAAGTTTCCCGGTCAGACATTTCCAAGCCCGTTTTCTCAAAACTTCATTTTTGCATTTACTTCTCTCTCCGCTATCACGGTATATGTGTGAATGTCAGCAATAATTGAACCGAACGTTGTTCTTGAGTGCGCGTCACTGCGAGTGTCAGTGCGCCTTCAATTTTGTGATACGCAACATAGACAGCCACGGAGTACGAATAGTTGTATCCAGGGCCTGCGATCGATCACCTCGTTTTGATATCTTTCAGTGAAACTAACGAGGTACAAATCAGGAATCTGAAGGTTTTGCTCTTTAAAAACCCTTAAATTGCACAGTGTGCTGCATTCTGAAATGTGGCAAAGTAGAAAACTTTGTGTGGGTGAAATGCATCAAAGATTTTGCAAAGCACATCGCCAAAGTAGAAAATCTGCTCCTCGCTAGACAGTTTACGAGAGCTGGATTACGTTCTTTCAAATTTTTCGAGGCCATGGGCACCTCAATACTTCAGTCACCAGCGATTGCTGCGAGAGCTAAGTAAAAAAGTAAACGTAACCTTGGTAAATCACTACCTGCTTCTTAAAAATGCCCTCCAACCGAACGTTACATTGACGTGCTGAACAAAACCCACTACAGAATTTCGTGGCATAATTGTTGATCTTAAATTTGCCGTCCGGAATTTGCCAATATTCTTACGTCAACCTGATGCACACAAATCTCGCATCTAAAAGTTCAAAAAAGTAAAAACCCGCTATGAAATGACCACACTAACTTCGGTATAACATCATCGTCTACAATGTGGTAAAAGAGTGATGGGTCCGGACTATTTTGCGGGGGAAAAATGCCAAAAGTTCCAAAATTTCAATGATAGTGAAATATTTTGAGCTCTAACGAAACTGTTTAAGTATTTGGCCTTGTTTTCCCCGAAAAATAGTGTGGACCCAGCGCTATATCTCAAAACCTTGTTACGTATAGTTCGGGCTAAGTTTTTTGGTGTTTCTTTATCATCTTCAACTGTACAGTCTATTCTTGATATCTTAACATATCTGAGAAGGCCTCTACAACGCGCATTATGTTATTGATACGCTTTAATTCTACCTGTGTGGTTTTTTTTTCTTTTTTTTTTCAATATTTGTGACCTTTTTCTCTTTATATACCAGGGTAATTTTCTATTCTTAATACCCTCACATGTCTGAAGCCACCTTAACGCGCATTGTGTTAAAGATACACTTTAATTGAGGGGCTTGGAGGACAAGGCGCATTAGTGCAGTTTTTGAAAAAATTGAGACATAAATGATTTCAAGTAAAGCTGTAAAGCTGTCTTAATGCATATTCTATGAAAAATTCGCTCCCAATATATACCAATTTTTTAGCATCAAAAAGTCAGTCAGAATTTTCTCTCCACCATAAGGATCCGTGAAATTTTGAAACTTCAAACACGTATCTCTCGAAATAGCAAAAACTGCACGTATGCACCTTGTCCTCTAAGCCCCTCAATTTTATTCTACCTGGATTTTTTAAATCAATTTTTCCACCTTCTTCTCTTCATATACCAGAGTGATTTTCTTAGAGAAAGTTGACAACGTTCGAACGAGTCCCTTGAAACAATATTGTGTGTGTGAATCGGTGACAAATCTTTTCGACGGCGTAAAGGGGTATGTTAGCGGGTCGGAGGGGGATGGGGGGAGGCTGTGACAGGGCAGTTGACAGGGATCAACCGAAAGCGAGCGAGCGAGGGCACAGGCGAGTTATGAGTGGTGAGCGCGCTGAGTGTCCACGTTCGTCACCTGAAATCCCAGACGAATCAAAAGAATCGTGTTTTATGCCATCCACAAAATAAACAATAGTCGGGGAAGCGTGTCGCGTAGTGCTTTCCCTGAAAATCAATCACTCACCTCGGTTACGTTTCAGTCGATCGCCTCGAAAAAATAAAAAATAAAAATCCTCTCCCGCTTCATCCCTGCGCAATCCATGCAAGCCTGTTAATTTCGTTTTTGAGAGCTTTCAATCAGCTATTCCCCGCTCGCTCCGCGCATC